ATTAAACTACTTTTGAAGAAAAAAATACCTCAAGATCTCTTCTTTCACGAATGGTTATATAACGATGTGTTACTTCATTTGTAACTTTAATTTCGTGAAGGTCAATAATAAATCTTATCTAATCTTTCAAAAAACGACGGTTTACACAGAAAACAACACAACGTAGTGTACCTTGATCTGTATGTACTTATTATTACTGTAACGTCCAAAATTCCCTAATCAACAATCGTTTGAAGTATTAAATCTCCCTAATTTTTTGAGTCATCAATATAGCGAATGAAATGAAAAATGTATCATGAAATTAAATGTTAGCTTGGAAATAGAATTTAAAAAAGAATTCAAAATATTTTTATTAGACAAAGTCTTTTATACTGTGAACAAATTATTGTGTACGAAATTTACTTATTTGTAATATACAGTCATTAGTTTGTAAGTTTTATAGTTGTGTAGTATCTGTGACTATCCATATACAATGTATGTTGTCAATTATGGGAAATAAATGAGTGATTGATTGACAATTCAATATTCATCGTGGTATTAGCCGGGGAAGCAGTTGTTTTCCGGCAGGAATTTATTAGAGCCCACTGTCTAGACAGTTGGGAGAGATGAAAATTTCGAGATTTTATTTCGAAGTATTTATTTTTCTTATAAGTATACATATCTCTCCTCGATACAGTCTTCAGAAACATTTAGCACTTGGCTACCCAAAACTACATTACAAAACAAAGAATCGACTTTGATGATTGCGTAGATATATGAACAAAAATTTACTAAAACCGTTTATGTTAGGTGCATTTTTTAAAGCTTCCAACACCTCAGTAAAAAGACGAATCATCTCAAGAATCACTGTTTTGTGTAAAGCGTATATAATCAAGATTATTGTTCTTCTTAGACCTTATGTCACAGTTATAAAACTGCAGCCTTTTTTAGGTATGTTTTTAGATAGTAAGGCATTTGGTTATGTTCAATTTTGTATATCGAAACGAGATTTGTCTGGTAAACGTTCAGCCAATTAAGTGTATCTAACATGGTTTTAATTGGAGCGTGTTTACTACATCCTAATAATATCCGCATTAATTCATTCTGTTGCATTTATAATTTATGTACATCTTCTTGATTTCAAAATGCGGAAAATAATAGTTTTGAATTTTAGTCTACTTAGATACAGAAATAGATATTCTAGTCAAGAAACCTATTTCTTTCCAAGCTCTCTACAAAGATAATCCATACTTTCTACTGTTTTTCTGGGTTTATAATCTTCCACATTCTGAAAAAATATAAACATACAAGTCTGTATCGATAGATTTCTTAGTTTCCAATCGAACCCAGTACCATATACTTAGTTTTTGAGGAATTCAACAGAAATTTATCAGACTGATTCGAGTAGGGCAGATATGTTGAACGTTTTTGCTACTTGGATCTGATAACATAAGGATATTTTTTGTCCTCACAGCTCCATTCATATATCCCTGACTTCATTTTCCAACATTTTGCCTTTTGTCGAAGTGAGCAAGGAGTTTCGAAGGCTTCTTTCTCATTCAACTATCTTATCCGTGAGTGTATCTTGGTTGGCACGATAGAACAATGTAGTTTGAATCAGTCTTTTCGATAAGTCGAAAATTTACGAAAATTGTCCTCAAATTTAAGTTTTCTAATGAACTGTTCACTATATTTGCTCGGAATTTGAGCCAGCTCTACAACTACGCTATCGGAGCCACCAAGCAGAATGCACGTTGGATTCATTCTTTAGTGGTGTTAGTGCGAATAGTGAAATTTGTTAATTATAGTGAACTTAACAACTAAACTTTATGTACAATTAGATATAGGAATAAAATACTTTGTCTAATTTCCACTTACTTGATGTATGGATATTAATACGACCAAGGTTTCGGTTTTTACACCATTCTCAAGTGTTCTAGCACTACTGACCTAAATAGAAATATCAGAGTATATATATATCCGAGAGTAGGTAATAAGAAATATACCTACGTTCATTAATACCAACTACATAAACTTCAAACTGTGATTAATTGCATTGTCATCTTTATAAATTCAAAAGTGGAGACCTACACAAATCTGTTTGTTCGTTAACGGTTTTATATTTCGAGTTTTTAATTGATTTATTGTTTTCCATGGCTTCCAACAAATTCATTTTCCTTCCTTTACTACATGTATGTAAGATTTTGAGGTTTTCCTTACTTATTTTGTGGTTTTTGTTTCTTGTAGATGTTCGTACATTGAAGATTTTTTGTCTACATCGATGTGTTCACGGAATCTTCCTTCGAAATTTCTGCCGGTCTGGCCTGCATATACTGCAGAGCATTCACTACATTCTATTCTATATATGCCAGATTTCTTCATTCTGTCACGCCTAGGTTTTAAATTGAATATGATTTTGCCTAAATTATTATTTTTTATGAAAGATGTTATTATGTTGAATTTGGAAAAGTAATTTTGAATAGGTATTTACTGAAAGTTTACCTGAGTAATTAATGCTGCTATATCTGTATGTATTATGTTCTTTGATGTGTGGGTACAGTTCTCCCATAATAGTTTTATGGATCTTACCTGCAATAATCTTTTCAATTAAGGACACAGGTACCTGATTATTGACTGCTATTTGTTTAATGACTTTCAATTCATCCATTGATTCAATAATCAGGTACCTGTGTCCTTAATTGAAAATATTATTCCAGGTAAAACCCATAAAACTATTATGGGAGAACTGTACCCACACATCAAAGAACAGAATACATATAATTTTCGAAAATCTGCAAAAACAAAACAGATGACTATTTCGGAAAAAATCCTACTTTCAATTGTACTGCTTCCAGTAATTCTCTAAAACGAGATTTGTCTGGTAAACGTTCAGCCAATTAAGTGTATCTAACATGGTTTTAATTGGAGCGTGTTTACTACATCCTAATAATATCCGAATTAATTCATTCTGTTGCATTTGTAATTTATGTACATCTTCTTGGTTGCAAAATGCGGAAAATGATAGTTTTGAATTTTAGTCTACTTAGATACAGAAATAGATATTCTAGTCAAGCACCCTATTTCTTTCCAAGCTCTCTACAAAGATAATCCATATTTTCTACTGTTTTTCTGGGTTTATAACCTTCCACATTCTGAAAAAATATAAACATACAAGTCTGTATCGATAGATTTCTTAGTTTCCAATCGAACCCAGTACCATATGCTTAGTTTTTGAGGAATTCAACTTCAACCAATTTTAACATAACCAATTATTTAATTAGCTGATCTCGTTATTGAGAGTACCTACAATTTCTGGATAATTCCTTTCAGATACAGAAGATATGGAAATAAGGACAGCGTTGGCACAAAGATTTACAAAGCAATTTTTAAGCCACATTAGGATCATTTATATATAGAAGAAACAAAAGAGGTCCCAGAACGCTTCCTTGGGGTACCCCAAATGAATTCTCAATTGATGTTGCCATACTTTCATTAATTCGCGTGATTTGTTTTCTGTTGTTCAAGTAGTCTTAAAACCATTTTAATAATGTATTTTTGGGCCCAAAAGCTCCTGATTTATTCAGGGTTTATTGTTTCAAATGCTCGCTTTAAATGTAGACATCTGAAATTTCCACTCAAGTAGTTTCTTCAATAAAAAAAATTTGAAAACATCCGTTGTTACAATATTGTTCAGATTTTATGAAAATTAAGAGAATCTTGTTAAACATTTGGAAATAAAAAATCAACTTTTTGTAAGAATTTGTTTTGAATTTTTCACATTTTTCTAGTTGCTTGAAATACGAAATAGGCGAAAAATCAGGAAGAAGTTCAAATGACAAATTTGTAGGTTATAAATATAATTTAAATCAGTTACCAAGTGAATGTTCAGATTTTGTATGAGTTACCGCTGGTAAATTCGTTAAT